TTGGGACAAGGTGAACAGCCAGCAGTAATGAAAAAACAGGTTAGGGACTATTTAGAAAAGCTGGACATGTATGCATTCACAGGGCTGGATGGAGTGCATCAAGGGTGCTGAGGGAGTTGTCTGATGTGTTTGCAGAGCCACTGGCCATTATCTTTAAAAAATTGTGGCAATTGGGAGGTCCTGGATGATTGGAAAAGGGCAAATATAGTGTCCAAGTTTAACAAAGGGAAGAAGGTGGATTCAGGGAACTACAGACCAGTCATCCTCACTTCAGTCTCTGGAAAAATCATGGAGCAGGTCCTCAGGGAATCCATTTCTAAACACTTGGAGGAGAAGAAGGTGATTAGGACCAGTCAGCATGGGTTCCCCAAGGGCAAGTCATACCTGACCAACCTGATTGCCTTCTGTGGTGAGATAACTGACTCTGTGGATGTGGGGAAAGCAGTAGACATAATATACTTTGACTTTAGCAAGGCTTTTGATATCATCTCCCACAGCATTCTTGCAAGCAAGCTAAGGAAGTATGTGTTGGATGAATGGATTGCAAGGTTGACAGAAAACTGGCTGGATTGTTGGGCTCAATGGGTAGTTATCAGTGACTCAGTGTCTAGCTGGCAGCCAGTATCAAGTGGTGGAGTGCCCCAGGGGTTGGTTCTGGGGCCAGTTTTGTTCAATATCTTCGTTAACTATTTGGAAGATGAGATGGATTGCACCCTCAGCAAGTTCACAGATGATACCAAGCTGAGGGGTGTAGTACATACACTGGAGGATAGGGGTAGGATTCAGAGTGACCTAGACAAATTGGAGGATTGGACCAAAAGAAATCTCATGAGGTTCAACAAAGATAAGTGCAAAGTCCTGTACTTAGGATGGAAGAATCCCATGCACTGCTACAGCCTGTGGACTGACGGGCTAAACAGCAGCTCTGCAGAAAAGGACCTGGGGGTTACAGTGGACAATTAGCTGGATATGAGTCAGCAGTGTGCCCTTGTTGCCAAAAAAGCTAACAGCATACTGGGGTGCATTAGTAGGAGCACTACCAGCAGATTCAGGGAAGTAATTATTCCAGTCTATTCAGCACTGGTGAGGCCACATGTGGAGTACTGTGTCCAGTTTTGGGCCCCCCTGTAGAAAGGATGTGGACAAGTTGGAGAAAGTCCTGTGGAGAGCAGCGGAAGTGGTTAGGGGGCTGGGATATATGATTTCTGACGAGAGGCTGAGAGAACTACTTATTTAGTCTGGAGAAGAGAAGACTGGGGAGGATTTGACAGCAGCCTTCAAGTACCTGAAGTGTGGTTCCAAGAAGATGGAGCTAAACTGTTCTCAGTGGTGAGAGATGTCAGAACAAGGAGCAATGGTCTCCAGTTGCAGCAAGGGAGGTTTAAATTGGATATTAGGACATTTTTTCTCACTAAGAGGGTGGTGAAGCACTGGAACAGGTTACCTAGAGAGGTGGGAGAATCCCCATCCTTGGAGGCTTTTAAGGTTTGACAAAGCCCTGGCTGGATGGTCCTGCCTTTGAGAAGGGGGTTAGACTAGATGACCTCCTGAGATCCCTTCCAATTGTCTATACTTCTAAGGCAGCAGCCCTCTCTGCTGATTCTTATCCATGGAGCTCTGGTAGCCTGTCCCTTTTGCATTCCTCTGTTTGCCAGTCCTAGGCCCCTAAAAAATCATGGATCAAGCTCCCACAATAATGAGATTTTTTTAGAAATGACCCCAGCTTTATTTTTGCCCATTCCGGGGTGCTGCTTTCACACAATCTCGAGCTTTTCTTCACAGCTATGGAGGGCTGGAGACATCCTTTTCATTAAAGAAGTGTCACGTAATCATGACTCTAAGAACTGCAGTTTTAAGTGTATCATCTCACAACTGGTCCCACAACCAGCTGCACCTACCTACCCATCCTTCCCACTGCAGCAGAGGGTTTAGAGGGCTGTAAACATCTGATCCCAAATAGGAGAGAGGTGATCAGGGGCACAGCAAGAGGGCGTACCACCATGGGCCATACCATTGAGGAGTATGGTGACATTATGAAGGCAGGTGCACAGAGCCTTTCACAGTGTCCTACAGTGACCCATGGCTCCTGTCTACTCCCTGTAACCAGTCTGTCTCTGTCTTTTCAGGTCAGTGGATTTCCTGATGGACTCCAGCCTTCGCAAACTGTACAGCACTGAAGAAACTCCCCCTTCCTCATGATGCACCCTCCCCCGTCCTACCTGCTGAAGCAGGGCCAGCCTACCTTGACAGCACTGTGCCTCCTTACTTGTTCAACTGTATTGAAGTCCAGATGAACCAACCTACTGTGACAGCGTGGCAGGGCAGGAGTGGGGTTGGAACAGCCCTTCCACTGCTCAGGCTCACCTCTGTTTGAAACGGCATTAGCACCAGGCCTGAGTTCCTAGGAGCTGGTGCATCTAACTTGGACAGCATGGGAGTTGAGAGCTGATTCTTAGTCCTTGGTGGCCTTGTTTTAGGTATGGCACAGGGAAGAATTTCAATCTATACCAAAACAATGGTGCCATGGGGTTGCAGGTCAGCCCAGGGTGGTAGATTTTCCTGTAAGTGATAGAAAGCCTTGGACTTGCACCACTGAGAAATCTGTTTACTGTGATGCCTTTCCTGAGGGTTAGCTGCATTAAACCCATGCTGTATTATAAGCCATTTTATTCTACTTGAGTCCAGTGTGATCGATCAGGTGATCTGCTGTAAGGCACAGCCCTTCACTGTTTCTTCCAGGTGTTCACAATAAATCATGTTTTAAATCTGAGCATGCTCCATTTTTATGCAACGTAAAAGAACATGTAACTAATGCTTGCAGTGCATTCCTGCATCCTGTAGTGCACTCTAGCCAAGGGCAAAAACAAGCCAGTTAAAGTGTTTGCTGTTTTCTCCCTCATAGTAAAGCAAGGCAGGGCCTCTCACCTTCCAGGCTAAGGAATTTGGGAGCCAAATACAAAGTGCAGACCATAACAAGCCAGGACTGGAGCACTGAAGTGGTGAAGCCATAGGACACCAACTTTAACCTTAGTAGCTTGGCCCTTATCCCAAGTCCAGCTCATAAGCAGGGATCCTAGTTTTCCCTGATAAATCACAAATTCTCTGATAAAACCCCCAAAATCCATGATTAAAATTAAACAACATTATATATATATGTATCAATTGAACATAATATTTTATTGATATACAGGCGACCCTCACCATTCACAGGGGATAAGTTCTCATATCCCCTACGATTGGCAAAATCTGTGAATCAGGCACTGCATTCATGAAAGCAGTGTCCCTGGCGAGTAGGGTGGGGCACAGCTCTGGGGTTGACAGTGGGAGTGCGGCGGCAGCAGCAGGAGCCCAGTGGCAGCAAGCATGGAGCTCCTGAGGAGATCCTGTAAGTGTATAAAGTGCATTTAAAATGCGGGTTTGGCATTCGCACATATTTGAAACTACAAATGCCGAACCTGCAAATAGCGAGGGTTTCCTGTATTTACAATTTTAAAGCAATTTGGAAGCCTACTGCTGCCTCATAGTTTCTAGGGTCGGAAAGGACC